TCTCCAGATGCATTTGAGATATCAAAAAAGTACTCCAGAGTGTTGTTCAGCATGGGGGTGAGTAGAAAATGAAGGCTAATCATGTTTTGGGTGTACTATTCCTTTAAGGTCCATCTGTCTATCTGTTCCTTAAGTGGGGGTAATAAAAATTCCACCGGTAAAATTTCACCAGCAGGTGGAGCCATTGCGCGCAGCTCCAAGCTGAAACCAAAAGGTCAAAGCCCCACAGCTCTGGAACTGTTACAGCTAGAGGTCTGAAACTTTCTGCATTAGTGGTTGACATGATGTAGAACAAATATAATACAATAAAACCTAATTTTTCTCAAGAATGTCTTTACTGCTGCTGTTCAAAAAAGACTTATCATTTCTGAGAATAAAAAAAAACACAACTTTGAGTCATGTTTGAACTGATGCAGCTTGGTCTGTGTTCTAGTATACACTCACTGCTTTGTTTAAAAAAAAATATGAATATAAAAATATAACCGCGGATGTCTGGGGGACAGTGATTGGCCTACATGTCATGAATGCTGGCGTACCATAAAGAATAAATTGTGAACGGTTAAGTTTGTGCCTTCAAGTCGTTGCCCATAAGAAGACGTTACTTGGATATAACAAAACCGAATATCTATAGGAACGGCTCCAAATGACACAAAACTAATATGGGTGAGTAGAACATGATGTAATAATGTAAACTCAAGGGCCTAATGTAAAAAAAAACAGTGTTCCCCTTTAATCTTGTGTCCAAAGTCTGTTCATAGTGATTTAAGAGCTAATTTACAAACAGAAAATTATAGAAAATAGTTACAGAGCACAGTGAATGCCACATCCAGTGTGTGTAACACCAAATGCAACAAAACACCAGGCAGGCCGTAGTGACAGGAAATGAGATGCGATGGTGAGCATAAAAGCAGCAGGTTACAGAATGTACTGTGCCTAACCTGAATATGCACCATTACTCACAGAAGTGTGTCTCTGTGTGCACATGATTAAAGCTTCAGTCTGACTGTTTAAAGATACGATCAGCTATCTTACAGAGAGCCATCTAATAAAACAGGAACAGAACAAGATGGTTAGAGACACTTAGTGCTAGTTTTCAGTGGCAACTTCCATCCAGATGTTTTACAAGGTTGTACAGCTTGGAGAAAATGAGCAGGTTTCACGATTCAATAAAGCTACAAGTGTAGTTTTACCAAAGCTGTGTGATAAATGTTCAGGTCCAGTCCTCCTGGGCTGCTTGTGTTCTATGTCTCTGCTCCTCCTCCTACTAAGATCATCAGGTTCCACCGAGGCTGCCTATGTATTGGTATAAATGCGGTGAATACGGAAAAACAAAATATCCAGGAAAAAGCACCACTTCCTACACAACCCAACCCCCTGTCCCTTTGACTTACTCTGTTGCTCACAAATAAAGTTGGATTTCACATCTTTATTTGTTCCCAACAACCTCAATAAGTTGTTCCATTCAAGTTGATTTTTGCACAGTTTCTATCTTAGTCAGTTAAATAACCTGCTGCTGTCATTTTGCACATCTCCGATGTTGCTGCTATTTTCAAATATCCATTACTAGAAAAATGTCCATAGCTGCATATTGGTTATTTATTCTCCAGTTTTATAGTGTTAAAATGCTTTACAGTATTTTATTGTTTATCTTTTAACTCTTCACTATTATGTTATTCTTATACATATTTCTAAGGTCCATATTTATGTGACTAATCTTTTTGCTGCTGTAAATACCAGGATTTCCCCATTGTGGGACGATAAAGGGATTTTCTATTCTATTCTATTCTATTCTATTCTATTCTATTCTATTCTATTCTATTCTATTCTATTCTATTCTATTCTATTCTATTTCTCAATTAAATCACAGAAAAGGAGGCAGGGATCAAATAGTAACACATTTTCAGCAGATTCACTTTTAAAACCTGTAAATCTTTTTCATTCTTACTTCTTTGCACTGAATAAACACAGATTTAGTTTTACATTTTGTTTTGCTAAAATGCCACATAAACATTAACCCCTTTTTAGGGCAAGTTAGCGTTTTTGATCCCTTGCATACCCCTTACAAATGGAGTCCCCTCCATCCCTCAGTGAGGTCTAGAAGCACAAGATCTATATCCAGCCATTCAGCAAAGATGCTGCTACATCGCTGTACATCTTATTTTGGCGTTTGACCAGTTAGATGAGCCCTTGAATGACATATTACCTACTGGAAATTAAGTTGGGAAAAAAAAGTGCCTCTAAGGTTATGTTGGAACAAATAAAATGTGTTTCTTTTTCTATTTTTCTGAACTTATTCGGCCAAGTTGGCGTTTCTTGTTATTACCTTGTCATTCTTTTTTCCATCAAAATCTCCACATGTTATGACTGTTACAAAGGTAATAAGCCTTTGTCCTGGATTCCAATAAGACTATTGGCTGGAAATTTTGAATTTAAAGTATTTCACTGAGTGCTCTATTAAGGGTTAATCTATTAGAGATGATTAGGATTGAATGTGAAACAATATTCCATCCTTTTCTGCTGCTCTATTTGCAGTTTTAACTCTATAAATTGTCAGAAGGATTTTGTTTTTGCTGCCCATAGAGGGATTGGTCCTCTTGGGGTCAGATGTGAATCTGTTGCTGAAACCTTCCTCTTGTAAACTTTGCTGAACAGTAACATTAATTCCACAATCAGTCCGTTACTCAGAATCTCCCTCCAAAGGGTCAGGGAATGAGTCCGACCACAGCCCAGCGAGCAGAACCTGTAGGAGGAGAAGCATGACTGATGGATCGTGTGTTTCCGCCTGGCTGCTGATGTGTTCAGTACCAGGCATACAGAAAGCGGTTTCAGTTGGTGAGGGCTTCAAGTATCAGGAACCACTCGTCATCTTAAAGATCATAGCAGGTCAAACCCCCTCCCAGACACACACAGGCATACACAGAGTCAAGGTCAAGCACTTAACCTGCTCTAATCACAGGCGCCATTAACATCATCACGGTATTATGTGAAAATCAACACAGTGACACAAACTTTCCATCACCATAATATTTCTAAGGAGAAGGTCATAATTATCCTGCAGCCAGACAAAAGCTTTCTAAAGCCTGCAGAGTAGCTGGAGCCTAAAGCTGTGGTAAAACGGCTTAGTTCAGAAACCTAATAGGTTTTTATCCGCTTACAGTGTTTTCCTTCATTTAGTTGGCCTGCCTTTATCTCAAAGGTTTTAAAAACAAAGAACTACATTAAAATAATTATGATCAATTGCACTTACACACACTGCTGCATATATATCTATATCTATATACATATATTGCAAATTGATTAATCTGTCGATTATTTTTTCGATTGATCGGATAGCTAAAGGTTCCTTAAAGAAGACTTTTTATGAAATGAAAACAAGGTGAAATTAAAATTTTCCACTTGAGATGATCTGGATAGAGCAGATTGATAGACAAAAGATTTTGATCTTAAATGCAAAATATTTAAATTATTCTTTACAATCTTGGTATAATTCCTGCTCTAAGTTGGGGGGTTAAAGGCATGTTTTAGAGTCTCTATTCTCTAGTTAATGATTCATTGATAACTAAATTAGTTTATTATTTCAACAATCAATTAATCAAGATTAATCTGTTAATTTTTTTATCCCTATTATATATAAAAAACAACAAAAAACCGTTCTTTTTTATATATAATAGGGATGAAAAAACTAAACAGATTAATCTTGCTTAATAGAAAAGTAATACTCTTGTCATTTAAAGTTAAAACGTCCACATCTTAAATAGAATAGAATTACAATGTGCTTAAATTAATTCTGTAGATAAGTAATAAGAATAAAATTACCTACCAAATTACCAGAGAACGAATGAAATAAGAAAATCATAGAAAACATCTATCTATCTATCTATCTATCTATCTATCTATCTATCTATCTATCTATCTATCTATCTATCTATCTATCTATCTATCTATCCATCCATCCATCTATCTATCTATCTATCTATCTATCTATCTATCTATCTATCTATCTATCTATCTATCTATCTATCTATCTATCTATCTATCTATCTATCTATCTATCTATCTATCTATCTATCTATCTATCTATCTATCTATCTATCTATCTATCTATCTATCTATCTATCTATCTATCTATCTATCTATCTATCTATCTATCTATCTATCTATCTATCTATCTATCTATCTATGCCTCTAAAGAAGACATCAAATTATGAAGAAAAAAAAATTATAATGAAAAATTGTACTTTATAATAACTAAAAATAAAGTCAAATGAGGTAATTTAGTTTTTTTTAAAGAATTCCTGCTAATTAGATGGTTAATATTTTATTGTTAATAACGTTCCAGATTCTCTCTCTATAGCACTACTACTGTTACAACTTGAGTATTTATTTCGCCAAATAGAAAGAATGGTTTCTTTTAATTCTTCCCGGTAATGATTCATTTGAGGTTTGGGATTAATAAAGTATTTTTGAACCAAATTAAATAATCCCAGTTTGCCCTGTGAGCGACATGCAGCGTCTCTCTGCGACACTGAGCGAGATAATAAATGGGAACGGGAGAAATAAATCATTAAATATGGAGATATGACATCTGTAAAAGCTTCGTATTAAAATACTGATCGAAAAATCATCTGATTATAAATAAAAAATAATTAAATAAACCAATTTTAAAGACACAGCTGCTAAATTGGCCTAATCAGAGATTATTTAAAAAGCGGCTTCCCTGCTTCAGTAACTCAGTCTGAGGCGCGCATCTTTCCACGTCGCGCGTGTTTCTAACAGAGAGCAGAAACGCGTCCCGCTCTCCTCATGGCATCAGCTGCTGATGCTCTCTGTCCCTGCATGGCAGCTCTGCAGCCAGCAAGCTGCCGAGACTAAACCCTTAATATGAGCTATTTAGTTATTAGGAGCTTTTAAGCTGTTATTCATCACCCCCCCTCAGCCAGTCCGTCAAATAATGACGCTGAAATGCCATTAGAGAATATGAGCGGAACAGTTTGACTCACCCAAACAGTCCGGGGCCTCCGCTTCATCTGGACCCCTGAACATTCAGGCCTCTTCTATGCTTTTATTTATTTCATCCGTATTAAAAAAATAGATCGACAGAGAAATAAAGCAGGAAGCACGTCGAAATGTAAACGTAGAAGGATTTTCTGTTTCCCACCTTCCTCCGGTCCGCTTCCGGTTCGGTCCGGTCCAGTCAGAGCAGACCCAGCAGGCTGAGAGTTTGGCCCCTGACTGAGGAACCAGCGTCTGGTCTGTGCGAGCAGAGAGGCTCGATGAAGCAGCCGCTCCTGGGCGTTAAACGCGCGTGTCTGCTTTTTGGCTGCTTTCGGATTAAATGACAGCTTCCAAACCGAACCTGGTTCTGCTTTCAGACTGGATCCGAATCAGCCATCCTGATCCGAATCAGCTATCCTGATCCGGGGAATTAAACTGCAAGTGTCTGGATAAAAAAAAAAAAAAAAAAAAAACAACGAATAAATATATAAAATAAAATATAAACAACACAAATAAAAGAAAATGAAATAATAATAATAATAATAATAATAATAATAATAATATATATATATATATATATATATATATATATATATATATATATATATTGATATATATATATATATATATATATATATATATATATATATATATATATATATATATATATATATATATATATTGATATATATATATAAATTTATATATATTTGCGCTGAATGGCCTGTAAATAAAGTGAAGGAGCAGAATCAAATTCTTGCAGAGTAAAGATTCGGTTGAACCGGGAAAAAATAAATAAAAAGTTTATTAATTTGAGAATTTATATATAAAAAAAGAATGTTTCTCATTTAATCGGTGATGTCGAGACAGAGCACAGAAAGTTGAGGATTTATTATCTGCTAAATTAGTAATCAGTCAAATTACAAAATCTCAGCTTTAAATTTTCTATTGTAAATTATTGTCCAAAGCATACACTGGTATGCCATAAATAATCACCACGGTCAAATCACACCCACTGAATCAATAAAAACCGGCAAATATTTATTTAATGTGGTTGGTAAACAAGTCTTAAAATGGTTCTGAAAATGTTTTTTTTTTTTTATCAGTCCTAAAAATTTTGCATACAAAACTTTGTGGTTTTTTCTTTTAAAGGAAAGGTGCTTCGTTACCTTGACAACGGCAGGCTGAATAAACTCAGTTTGCAGCATGATGGACTTTATGCTGCTGCTAATCTGATTACAGCTGGGTACAATAATAGCAACACAGAAACGCTCTCTGTTTCATTATATATATATATATATATATATATATATATATATATATATATATATATATATATATATATATATATATATATATATATATATATATATATATATATATATATATATATATATATATATATATATATATATATATATATATATATATATATATATAATGAAACAGAGAGCGTTTCTGTGTTGCTATTATTGTACCCAGCTGTAATCAGATTAGCAGCAGCATATATATCCCCCACAAATAATTAGAATTGAAATCAATATTCTCCTAAAGAGAAAAAAAAAAATCGAAAAAAAAACAAGCACAAAAATAAAATAAAAACAATAAGACGGATAACATCAAACCCTGAGAAATGTAATTCCTTTTATATTGTTAATTTCCTGGGTTCATACAGCGGCTCTGGTCAAAGTAACCACTTGAAGCGCTCTCCACCCGGGGCCACAGTCACACACCGAGCCGGTGGAGGACTTCCAGAGCCTTGCCCAGCGGCACATCGGTTCATCGGGTCTGTTCTTCCCACGCGGTGGCCTCAGCCTGTTTCACAGCAGAGCTGACCATCAAAGCCTCAGTGAGAAAGCACGCATTATGTGACAACATGAGGATGATCAGACTGAGCAGTTATTGGATGATTTATGCGGCCTCTAATCCAGGGATTCACTTTATAGCTGCAAGCCTCTCACGGCCTCTTTTCTCTTCAGCCCCCACATGTGTGACTTCTACACATCCAACATTAAATCTCAACTCAATTGAATAAAGAAATTAGAACTCCGTTTCAGCTGCAAATATATTTTTTGTATTATTTAGTGATTTCAAAGTCTTCTTATCACTTTCTGTTGTTTCTCCTTTTCCATGTCGCTGCATCAGTGGGTGGGTGGGTGCGCGCGCACAGGATATCCTTCTGGCCTTGGAAAAAAAAAAAGAAAAGAAAAAAATGGGAGTGGGACAGAGTGAGAAAAAGCAGACTGCGACAGAGAGCTTCCTCTCAACTAATGAATTCCTGATCACACACTCTCTCGCACTTTTCAGACGCCAGCATGGACCGAGATGGTTCTGGAGGAAAGAAGGTTTTTCCCCTCTTTACCTCATGAAGCATCTTTGTACTTCGTGCTTCTAACCTGAGGCCTCCTCGGCACCTGATTATTATATATAAAAAAATAGTGAGCTTTTTTTTTTTTTTTTTTTTTTATCCCCTCCTTTTTTACTACATTTGATGTGAAAGGATAATTTAGTACTATTTCATGAGCTCAAGCCACATTCCAGAGGATAAGAGGAAGTGAAGGAAAAATCTGTCCCTCCATGTTGGAGGAGACCAGACTGCAGACAGCGGTGTTAATTTTGAACAGCAGGGGGCAGAATATTATAGTATTATTATTAGGCTTAAAACTTTCCTTTTTGATAAAGCTTATAGTTAGAGTGGCTCAGGTTATCCTGAGCTATCTCTATAGTTAGCTGCTATAGGCTTAGACTGCTGGAGGACATAGGGACCCCATTTCATCATTCTGCTTCATTCTCTCTCTATTCTCCCACTCTGCAGAATCTGTTAGTCCAATCTCTAACGTTCTGCTCTCTCTGCTTTTTCTCATAGTAGCTTCATCTGGTCTGTTCCTGTTTGGCTGTGATTCCATCCTGGAGAGAAATATCAGCTGTGCTGCTGCCATCAACACCCTTGTCTATAGATGTTGGAGCCTGCCCTGTTTACCAGTGTAGTCCTGTTTCTCTGACTCTGACTAACTGCATGCGCTCTTTTCATCCTCTTACATGGGAGCTGGCTCGGAGCTTGTCTGCCTGGCTGTGTGTTTCCTGGACGGGGCCGCCTTTTACAGTTGCTTTTTGTATCTCTGCTTCTGTCTCCTTGAACCCCAGTCGGCCTCAGCAGATGGCCGCTCACACTGAGCCTGGTTCTGCTGGAGGTTTCTTCCTTGTTATAAGGGAGTTTTTTCTCTCCACTGTCGCTGCAAGCATGCTTAGTGTGAGGAATTGCTGAGAGTCAATAATTCGAAGCAATCAACTGGTTTTCCTTAGATAGAAAACATTGAATCAATCTGACTGGATGATGTGGTGAACTGGAAAGTACCTTGAGATGACGTGTGTTGTGAATTGGTGCTATAGAAATAAACTGAATTGAATTGAATTGAATATTCAGACCTCGAGCAGAAATTATGCTGATAAAATCTCCTGGACTTCCTATGATATTTGCATCAGGTCCAGTAACATGAACAAGAAAAAAAAAATCTCATAATATTTATCCACTCAGACTTTGATGCTTGATTTGAAATTCAGTTTTAAATCAGAAATGACTATTTCAAAATAATGTTAAACAAATTAAAGAGCATCAGATATGGAACCTTAAAAATAAAGCTGCAGATTATTTGGTTCAATAAATAAACATGCCTGAATTTTATCCTGGGCTTCCAGGGATTTTAGACTTCTCATAGACGCTCGTTTTTATTTACATGAAGATAAAGTGCATTTCTTTCTATTACATAAACTGTAATCTTTGTTTTTGTGCAATTTCATGACTGCAGAAGAAAGACATTATACTGTAATATTCTTCCATTTATTTTTATCGTTAAAAGTTAAAGTTTAAACTCACCGTTTGTCACAAACATTTGGAATAAAATAGATTCATCTTGACATTTAGTGTTCATGTAAAATGATCTGTATAGATATAAATTAGAGGGAAAACTTCAAAAAACTATTTTTTTTTATTTTAGTTTTAGTGCATATTTGTCCTACGTTTATGAAAATGAATGGCTTTAAGTGCCTTTAAACACAGTCAGGTTGCCATAGAGACATGTTGAACAATTATTTTCCACTTATTGAAGCAAAATGTGCTGCAAAGAGTCCCAGCGGCATTAAAAAAAATATATTTAACAATGACGCAAATATTGTTGCGCTGAACCAGATAAAAAACATTTTGTAAAACACTGTTTTTTCAATTGAAGATTTTTTTTTTTACTCAGATTGCTGAAAGTGTTTAAGAGATAATCTTTTTCTAATTATTTTAACTGATAATTGACCACTAGGGAGCACTCAAAAGCATTTAATGGAGCATATGTGTTTCAGCCCTAAATGGACAATGGTAAACCAAAAAGAAAACAAAAAAACAACAGTTATAAGGTGGTTGTTTTTTTTTATTTTATTTACCATCCCTTGGCAGAAGCACAATGTTAATTCCATATATTTTATCCTAACAAGTTCAGCACATGCATCAAACATGCTCATAAATTATATGCATAAATGATAGAGGAACATTTTAGTTCCTTCTTAGTCCAAAGTGGAAAATAGTCAATTATTAAAAAGTTTCATCATTTTCAAACAAAACACCAGGTTTCTACAAACAGCAGGTGCAAAAAAAAAAAAAACAGCTTTTATTTTTTCAAGATTTAACATAGTTAAAATCCAAAGAATTTCTGCTGAAAAGTCTTTATATTTAAATTTGAAGGCTGTGTCCTCAGCTGTCTCCATCTTCATCTGGTCACTACGGCGTGCTGGCAGGAAAAACCTGGAAACTTTAGACAATTCCCCAAATCAAATCCAACATATTGTGGGTCTGTGCAGCTTAAACTAATGAATGATATCCAGAATCATTTACTGGGAGCTCTACTCTCCCATCCGATCAAAGGCAGCTTCTTATTCTGGGGCCTCGTTCTCTTTTTCAAAGGGTCCTGTTCATGAAAGTGCTTACAACAAACGTAACTTCAAGTACATCCTAAAAAAACCCAGAGGGATATGAAAGTACAGGATCACATTTCTGTTTGAAGTTACCTCACACAGACAACATATACAAGCAAAAACGCTTGACTGAGGCCACTGCTGTGAGGCCTCTGCATTGGCTTTACTATGTGACTTATTACACCCAGCCACACACACACACACACACACTGCCAGCATTTATGAGAAAGGTTAGTAGCTGGCTTAAACGACTACTTAGCTGACCCTGCTTCAATAAATCCTGCTCTACAGAAGGTCTCTGGTTATTACAAACAGAAAGAAGCACCACCTGCATTAAACTACACTGT